TTTTTTTTTTTTTTTTTTTTTAGAAGTGAGCCCTCTCCCCATTCCCTGACTCAGCTGCTTTTATTCCCCCTTGCCTACGCTGCTCTTTTGTATAACCCTGCTGTTTGTGTAGCCCTGGTTTATAGCCCTTTTTGTCTGTCTGCAGTTTGGAAGCTTCCACACAGACAGCAAAGCAGGGATTCATCCAGGAAACAGTGACCTGAGATGAGCTTGAAAATACTGAACAGTGAACAAAAGCCCCTTTATTGCCCTCAGAAAGGTTGCGCTCTGCCAGGCCACAGAATTTGAAACAGGCAGACACCTCTTCTAGCACCTCTCTCCCTCTGTGATGATTTGCTTCCCTTTCCCTTGTAAATGCTGGATCCTGCCCTCAAAACCCTCCACTCATCTTGACTTTGCAGAATAGCTCCAGGTGGAGGTTGCCTGCTCCCTTGCAAGCTCAAGCAGACCTGGAGGAGCAGGAATCCTCTTGGCATTACCTAATGTGCAAGATGCTCCTTTAGGCTTGTTGGTACAAAGGGCTTCTGGCATCAGTCAGGAAGAAGGAGCATCAGTGCAAAATTCCCTTTGCCTCACTCCTAAATTGGCTCAGCAAACCTGAGGTGACCCCATGTGTCTCAGTACCACTGCTCTCCTAGACACTCATTCTTGACTGCAGTAATAGCCCTACTGTACTTCTGAACAAGTCTTTTCTGTCTCTCTCTCCAGCACTTCTACCCTCCATGATCAAAAGAAGACAAGGCCACATTGTGGCAATCAGCAGTGTTCAAGGCAAAATAAGCATTCCTTTCAGATCAGCATGTAAGTACCTCTGCAGAGGATGGTGAGCAGGAATCTGGGCACTCGACTTAGTACTTGGATACTGCTTCTACATGCTGCATCGTTGGGGCTGGTAGCGTGCATGGAATACCAGGGCTTTGCAACACTTCTGGTGTGGTCACAAACTGCTGACACTGGTGAGAAGTGTTCCAGGGAGCAGAGATACCGTCATAGGTCTTAAAACCTTAACTCTGAATCTTGGCTCTAGTTCAAAATTCTCCTTCCTTATTCTGTCCCCCACCTGGGATTTTAATGTGAAAGCTGCTGGGCATCTCTGTCCTGGCATAAGCCATACAGTCTTGTGTGACCATTAGGAAGTTATTGTTGTGTAATAACATGACTTTATTGCGTCTTATTCTGGTAGTACTGTCAAGCTGAAGTTTGTTGTCTTGTTTCATAGAGGCCACTGTAAGCAGCACAGCTCCTTAATAAAAGCATGTGCAAACAGATGAGGCCTTCACCCGAAGAGCTTGGAGAGCAGATCAGATCCTAGACAGAACATCTCTTCTTTTACAGGGAGAAGCTCCATTGCTTATTGAAAGGCTGTCCAACTTTGCAGATAGGGCTATATGCAGCACCAGCGTGTGCCCTCATCTCCCTTTGAGTCCTGCTCCACTGTGCAGCAGTGGGAAAGGTGGCTGCAGGGATCTGTGGCCCACATGTTAACTGCTGATGGGCTATGAGTTGGACAGCTCTGGGTTATAAGATGATCTGCACCAGTAAGATACGAAGCTAGTATCCCAGCCAGTTTCCAACTTGGTTGATTGTGTTTTCCTTTCTAAACTGTCTTTATTGTCCCTTAATGCTGCTGCTCCCTTCTTTTAAAAGGCACCATGGTGTTGCCGTGTGCACGTAAATGGTTCCTGTGCTTCAGTTGAGAAACAGTTGCATGTCCCTGATGAGCAACTGTGGGAGAAAAGCCCTTACTGCACAGCTCAGGTTTGTTTTGCAGATGCAGCCTCTAAGCATGCCACGCAGGCCTTTTTCGATTGTCTACGAGCAGAGGTGGAGCAGTACGAAATCGATGTGACTGTTGTGAGCCCTGGCTACATCCAGACTAATCTCTCTCTCAATGCCATCACAGCAGATGGATCTCAGTATGGAGGTGAGGCTTGGTCACCAGTGTCCACTAGGAGAAGTGATCCTGTGTTCTGTATAACAGTTGAAAGGGCTAAACCCCTCTGCCTGCAACAGGTCTGTGTGTCATGGACAGGAGTGATTTGTACAAATAGGTTGCAGTTGGCCGCAGGAGCAGGAAAAGACCCCAAAGACTTTAGATGCTGGTAAAGAGGGTGTCTCTGTCAGCCCTAGCACACAACCAGAGCCATTTTATACAGAGCAAAGCAAAGTCATTAGTTGAGGGTTAAGCAGGGTTTCACCCAGTAGACAAGAGTTGACATTCTTCACTAGTCACTTAAGTGGCACTCCACCTCTGTCTGAAAGCTTCACTGATGTTCCTTATACCAGTGTGGGTTAGAAAAGATGCTGCCTTTTGAGTGGAGGGTTGGAAATCAGCTCACACTGATCTGCAGCTTTTAGTGAGCTGCAGGCTATAGGGAGACAGTACCTTTGTCTCCCCCCCCATCAGGCAGTCAGCTGGAAGTTATGGTCAGCTAGTGAGCAAAACCCATGAGAACATGCCTGTATTCAAATGCCTCGTGGACTGTGTGGCTCCATAGTTGGAGCAACAGCCTGGGAGCCAGAAAGACACCGTCTCGTGATCCCTGCTTAGCTACAGAATCCTGTTGAATGTGTGCCCCATTGAAGCCAGCTGTGAATGATTGGTCTGAAAGCAAGGCACTTGCTGACAGCTGCAGGCTGAGCTTTCCTGGGGAACCAGCACTTAGCAAACTAGTGTTTACCTGCTGTCATCCATGCTCATCAGCCTTTGCTTTTGCAGTGATGGACAAGAACACCTTGGACGGCCAAACAGCTTCAGAGGTGGCTCAAGTGGTTCTTTATGCAGTGGGACAGAAAAAGAAGGAAGTGCTTGTTGCTGGTTTAATGCCTTCTCTGGCTGTCTACCTGCGAACGCTCGTCCCCAAGCTCTTCTTCACCTTTATGGCATCTAGGGCAAGAAAGGAAAGGAAAGCAAAGGACTCATAGAGCTTGGCTTACTCATGCAGCAACTGTAGGCAAAAGAAGCCAACCGCTGTGACTTGGCACACGTCTGTGGAAGAGCTCATCAGGAAGCAGATTCTTACAGTTGCTGCAACTTGCCATCTCATGGAGCACTGGTAGCACCAACACACATGCCACAGGGGGTCCCTGCTGCCAGAGACCATTGATTTTAGCCAAAACTCACCGTTCAAGGCAGCTCTTCAACCAGTAACTCTAAGTGCTGAGTCCTAGTGGGCAAGGATGCTGACCAGATGCAAAGGGCTAGATGGCTGAGCAGAACATTCCTGCACCTTCCCATTTGGTTCTGCATTAGCCATTTAAGGAAGCTCTAGGAAGAAGTCTCCAGTACAGTATCCAGCTTAATGCATGCAGGCACAACACAAGCACTGCATAGCTATGAAAGACAGCAGAAGCAAAGAGAGGCCACTGACTGTAAAGCCCTCTGACATCAATGGTGCCTGGCTCAACTGTGTGTCTTGAATAAGTAATAAGTCACAGTCCTTTTAGGTGCCAGGCAGCATGCCTTGTGGTCAGCAGGGGAGAGGACCTGTACATGCAAGCAATGGACGCTAGTAGAGAGACCACCTTTGTCCTTACCTGGGATCTACTGCCACCAAATATGCAGTGTGGAGGCGGCATTCTGGTGGTACATCTGCAGGGGGGACAGCACCCCCAACTACCTCTTTCCCTGTGCTTATGGACACTTCTCCCTTTCCAACACAGGAAGGGACTCTTACACCTGGTCTCTGCCCCTGCAACCCCCTCCCTCCCCACTTCCTTCCTCCCCAGATCAACCACTGGGTAGTAGCAAGGGCAGTCTCTACCTTATGCTGAGTGAAAGGGGTCAGTCCATTCAGGATCTACCACCGGACAGGATGAGAAGGAGCTGTCTTATCCCTTGGATTCCTCTTGTAAATAAAACTGATTACAGAAACCAAGGCCAGTGTGTCCCATCTTAGTCTCTGCTCTCAGCTGCTGAATGGGGCTCCCTGCTAGAATATCAGGTGTCTGTCCTGCCCCCCTCCCAGCTGCCTACCCCCACTCTCTCTAGACTCTGCCATGTGTGTAGGTCCTGCCTATGAGCATGCATCTAAAACAAATAAAACTCAGAGGGGTTTGAAGCAAAATGCTGTCTTTGTCATGCTGCTTGTCTCGGCTATGGCAGGAAAAGCTTATAGGGAGAGCTACCCCTCTGCTCTCAGCAGGTGCTTCCCTGGGGCAGTTGTATCATACACCTGCATCCCTACCCTGGAGAATCTGGGAATAATAGCCACATGCAGCCTCTAAACTGGCAGGAGGTTAAGGGATGGGAGAGTGTTCTGGAGGATTCCTCTTGGGAAAAATCTCAAGGTTCCTGGTTGAAAAAGTTACATTTGTGTAAACATGAGGCATTACTTTGCACTGTTGTCCTTCGCACTCCCCTCCTTCCTGGACTGTTTGTTCTGTTCGTACCTCCCCACAATTGTACGTAGTTCTAGTGATGTGGGCACACTGTTTCACTTAACCTCCTTACAGTGCTGGTTGAGTGCAGTAGGTCTCTACTCAACCATTTTCTGTGGTGCCTGGCCCTGCATTAAACACAAGTAACCATTCTGCATTGCTTCTGCAGGGGTTGTATAAGGCTGGGTAGAAACATGGTTCATCACAGCTGCAGGAGGGGAGCTGTCAAGTTCCAGAACGGTACAACAGAAGGAAGGCAAAGCTAGTGCAATTACAGAATAGTCCAAACATACCTCTCCCCTTTTTCTTTTGATAGCAAAGACTACGTGATGCAGCCCACAGAGCTCATCTGCCACAAGAAGGTGGCAGTACAGGTTGAACTACTTATCTTGGAAAGGAGGTTTGCAGGAGACAGTCCCTGGGGAACCTATGCCATGTACGCCGAGAGCAGCCTTCCCCTCAGTAAGGGGCTGAGTGGCAGTACAAGGATGTCCTAAAAAAAGAGTGCTGCTGGGATGCAGCACAGGGAGGTGGTTGCTTGGCGTTCCACTGTGCAGTTGATGGAACGTACCTCACTTCGATCCAGCTTCCTTTGTCTGAATCGGTGGAGTCCAACCCTCAATCCTGTTACTGAATGAGTGACTCTCCGGCAGGGTAGAAATGGCCAGATGGAGTCTTGGCCTTTATGACCGTTACATACCAGTATCCTCCACACTGGCCCGACTTCCATGTCTAGTGTTGATCATGTTGTGACAGGGGACAACAGAATTACCCTTCTGAAGTCCAGGCTGCTGCTCCGTCCAAGTCAGAGTAGCTATCAGTTTCTAGAAAATTCACCCCAGCAGCCAGGATGCTGCTGCCCTTGGGCTTAATAGGCTGGGAACTGACTCAGCACAGAGGTAGCTCTCAGCAGCACCTCCCTGCCCATGTATTGTCAGGTCTCCATGATCTCTTTGCAACAAGAGCTGCAAAATGGGCACTGCTGAAGAGTTTTTAAATTGGCACTGCATACAGAATCTCACTCCCACCAAGACAGCAACGGGACCTCATCTTTGCTGCTCCTATCCATGCTCCGATGTAGTTACAGTACACATGCTCCCTTATTTATCCTGTTTTCTGGGACAGGCGTGAAGGACGCCAACTACCTTTCCTTAGTACCTTGTCCTCCAAAAGGTTTCCAGGCAGTGCAGCATGCTTCTACATACCCTTTCGATGCCTGGGGCCAGTGACAGCTGTCAGTTTCTGTAAAAATGGCATGCCTTCTCCCCATAGCAGGTAGGTCCAGCTGACTCTTCACCTTTCAGCCTGTAATAAGAAACCAAAGTGATCTTTGGCCCCTTTTTAGTCACCCAGACTCAGCTGTTTCCCATGTACAGAGACAGCCTAGCAAGGTTCACGCCTGCATCACACTGACCCCTGCTGGGCAAGGGGAGGAGTGACACCAACAGGTGCTGGGGAGAAGCGTTTCGGCGAAGCGTCATGCATAACGTGCATCGGGGATGGGAACCAAGCAGGAATGCCTTCTCTGTTCAACATGGAGGAAGGACTTGAATGCTGGAGTTCGATATATGAGCAGGATTCCACACCAACGAGGTCTGATTTGCCAAAAGCTTTGTTCCAGATGGCTTAGACTTATGCACAACTCAAGAAAGGAGTGACAGTACAGTTTGACAAGGAAATATACCCTCAGTTCCTAGGCTGCTCACCAACAGATGAAACCGTGTGCACCTTTCCTCCTCGCCCCAAGCAGAAAGCACAACTGCACTGCTGCTATAAATAGAACCGTTTCCACATTCAGTTATTTTTAACAGCGTAGGTGACTACATTAGCCATTGTAATAGTGAAGAGAAAAAAAGGCAGGAGTTTCAGAAGGGCCATTACCTGCTACACTGCTGCTCTGCCTAGCCTCTCAAAAGAATCCTAGCCTTGATGTTAAAAGAATTTCCTTGGAAGGCAAGGGGAATATAGGCACTTAACTCAGCCCTGGCCCTGGAGCAGCACCACAGCCTGCTGTCCATGCAGAGGGAGAACATGCTGCTCATCTAAAAGCTTCGTCTGTTATACCAGATGACTAATGGCAACTGGACAACCAAAAAGTCTCCAACCTTGGCCAGATTACTTCTCTGTAGTTTTGAAGCATTAGGGAGCTCTACCGCCTACTGTTTCAAACTGAAGAGATAAAGATAGAACTGAATTTGGGTTTTGACCTTGCAAGACTTCTACGGTCAGTTCTGTAGCTGCAGAGGTCAGGTTGCAATGATCATTTAAGCAGACCATACACCTATACATAGGCAGTTTATATGACAAGAGTTTTGCTCTCCTTTTCAGAGGTTAGAGTGGAAATTGCTGAGCTGCCCTTCTCCAGCAGACCAAATCTACCCTCAATTTGGTAGAAGAGTCTGCTTTGCCAGATCTGCTATCATAACTGCTTTTCATTCTAATAGAACAGGATTTTGACAGTTTCCACCCAGAAAACAAGAACTCTGGATGGGATGCTGAGATCTTTAGATTAGGACACAACTAGTCAGACACTATTTAAAGATAGACAGCAAGGGACCTTCCTTTGTACTGATAGTAGCTACCTTCAGAAGCTGGTGTCATACAACCAAAACTAGTGGAAGCAAATGATCACAATATGGCCTTCTGGGTATCATGAACACTGGTTTGATATTATATACTGGTTGCACAAGCATGAACAGCAGTAATAAAACATAGTCATGGGTGAAGCAGTCAGATTCTGACCTCTGGACTACTCAACTACATTGGAGTAGACAGCTGGGGTACCATACATGGAGCTTCATGTCCCATACTGAATGGAAAATGTGCCTGCATGCAACCCAAGAGGAAGCAGTTAGCATCAGCAGGATGGTGCCACTGAGCACTGGAGGGTAGTGACCAGGCAGCACAGCAGCTGTAGGGCAGTTTTCACCCACAGCGTCAGTGGGCAAATGATGCATATTGGAAACAAACCACACATTTACTGTTGTCATCCTGTGTGTCAACACGGTCCAGCAACCATCAAAGAGATACCATATTGCCCGCTAGCATCTAAGTGTGTACATACAATATTAAAAAAACCCAAAAACAACAAAACAATCCCCCCCAAAAACCATAAACTACTGTGGCTCCCACTGCAAAGGGGTTCAAGCTCCCCTTTCCCCTGAAGCAGCCTGTGTAAGAGGAGCCACTTGAATAGTAAAGAGAAAGCAAAAGCATTTGAAATTCTCATCTTTAATGGTCAATGATAACTTCTGGCTGGTTCTGTGTAGTACAATTAAACAATATACTTAAATGTTTCCAAAAAAAAAAAAAAAAAAAAAAAAAAAAAGAAAAAAAGAAGAAAAAAAAGCTCTCACACCCCCTTTTTATATAGCTTTCATTTGATATTCCACTGCTGGATCAGACTCCCAGGGCCTAACATACAGCGCTCAAGTCACTGCAGATCCACATCTCAAGTGTAATGAAGAACTGAAAAACCTTGGTGTGCCAGTGATGTGTTATTTGAAAAATAACAGCTCTATTAAACCAACTGCTTCCCAGTCTCAACCACTTCTCAGAGGAAAAACAAAATGTTACTGTGGGAGTCTTAATACACTTGTCTTTGTGGGTTTCTCATTTCCCTATGGAAGTCATACAGCGTAGAGTTCATAGACCTTCTTTACACAGTACACCAGGGCAGCGAGCGCTATCGTGTTATGCAGTCTTTTTCTGTGCAGGTCGTCCTTCCTCACCAGTACCACAGGAGTGGAAGAGGTGAGTGTATGCAGGGGCAGGCGGGAGAGTTTATAGGCATCGTACTCCACTTGGTACTTGCAGCAGGGGTCGAACTGCCAAGAGATACCGTAAAGGGTGCAGCAGGCCATGCTCAGCACGCCGGCAGGCAGGGAGATGTAGTGGGAATAATCTACTGGAAGTGCCAGAGGGGTGAAGAGACAGGCAGTGCCCGCGAGGACAGCCGTCTTATGCAGGCAGTTCCCCACAGTGATCCAGCGGGCGGTCTCATCACCGATGCGAGTGGGCTCTATCACTATGTATTTGTACTGTGCTTCCAGGGCTTGCTCCAGCTCATACTCAAACTGGTCCTGAGCGTTCTCGCCATTGTAGATTTCGTGCACAATGTAACAGTCCGTGGAGGACAAAGTCACCCTGTTAACAGAAAACACAGAATTAAACTACAGCGTGTAGGGACGGCCCTTCCTCTGTTCCCACACTTACTAAAGAGTATGGGAGATTGATGGCTAAAGCAAGGTTACCACCTCAAGGTCACTTGGTCTCTGCTTTTCCTCCAGCCAGGAGGTACTTTTCTCCAGGTCAAGATCCACTGGAGAACAGCCGATTTGCCCAGTGAAAACACTGAAGACAGTGTTAGTTAGGAATAACTGTGCATTTTACAGCTTCTTCTCTTGCATAAGGGACTAAATACATTTCACAAAAGCAAGATCAATTCTATCTTCCCAAGACAGATTTGTTACGACTTCAGCCATCAGTGACATTAGAGATGGTTGCTGTAGAG